ATATATATATATATATATATATATAAACAAGGCCTTTTATCAGAGACGGCATTAGTCTTCACTTACAGGAAGGTAGAAATCGTTTTTTCCCATGAAAGTGATCTGTTGCCCATCAGGATAAAGCAATGTTTCGTTGGATGAATTATAAAGAGAGAATGGAGGCGACACAATGTCTTCCAAAAAGAACTACAAGAAGAAGAAGAAGAAAAACAAAAACATTATTTAATGTTTTGCTTTTGAGTCAAAGCTGATCACTTTTTATAACAGAAAACTAAAAGGCTCAGGAAAACGTTTTCCGTTTATTTTGCCTGATGATCCTTAAAAAGACGAACTAGTCGGCTTCAGACTTGCAGGAGGAAAACAGAATCTTCTTATGTTAGAGGGCAATAGTGACAACCATTCAATACAGCCCGTTAACGAGAACCTGCAGGACAACATGAGGATTGGCTGCCCTCACTGAGAAACCAAGATAATTTGGTCCATTCGCCCTGAGCAACTGACCCACGTCAGACACAGAACACGATTATAATCTCTGCAATCGATTCGTGTGAAGGTCTAAACCAGGGTCCTGACACCACACTTTATCATCACCTCCTCTCAGAGCCTCAGGCTGCTCCTCCGCTTTTATCAGAGCCTTTATGTATACATCCTTACAAAAATAAGCCATAATCAAATACATCTGAAAACTAATGGAGACCAGCAAATAACAATAAAAATGTTATATACAGTGTTTCCTTATCAGCACGTGCAAATGATGCTGAAATAGGCTATTCACAGACCCCTGTTATTCATGACCGGGAACGCCAGGAGAACAATAGAAAGGTGATTATTTTCTGCAGCAGATCGTGTGGTGAAACAGCCAATATGTTTGAGACTTGGCAAAGAAAATAAACCTCAACATAAAATATAAATTCAAGTAGAAGAATACCACATTAAATGCTACTAACCCTAAAGGCTGCTGCATACACACTAGTGTACTATAGCTCATTATTTAACTGGAACAATAAAAACAAAAGTGTCACATATAGTGCATTATATGCCCGAAGACAAACTATTGTACAGCAATGGCCCAGTCAAGCAATAACCTTGTTTTATCAATGGCTGGAACAGCTGGAATGAATAGAAACAGCTGTGTGTGACAGGAAGTACATGGGAGCAGAGGAGAACTTTGGCTATGAAACAAGACTCTATAAGTCCCAGCTGAACAGGTAACAGAAAAACAACGTCAGAAATAAACTGAACATGAAAAAAGTACAGAGAATGAAAACAGTAAGAAGTAGATATATTAACAAAAACACCATGAAACCCCCAAACCATGACACACCCATAGTTTCTACAGAAACAGCACAGTGTCAAGGGAATTTGTATTTATGCTCTCACCATGCTCCATAATTTTACTTGATTAATGGAGAATTATAGCTGTGCTTGCTTGCTCTTGTTCCTATTAATTATATTAAACTGTTCCATGATCCTTTCCCCCAAATTATAATCATTCTTGATATGACTATCAGTAAGAAGAAAGTGGAGAGGTTGTCTTTTATTATTTTGGAGGCTTTTGAATGTTATGGTAGACGGTGATTATTGCCCGTAAGAATCCTTGAGAAATGTTAACTCCAGCGGCTCTCTGTGTGCAGCTGCTGGGTTCAGTTCTGAAAACACTAGGACAAGGCGAAGGGGAGGGGCCGCCCCCTGATGAGTTCTCTACAAAACTAACATTTTCAGTTCGAGAAGTCAGAACGGGTCAGAACCTCAGACAGGTGACGACATCGACAGGTTTGTACTTGTAAATGCATTGATCTTCTGTGATTATTATTCTCCAAAGCTTTGTAAATAAATATGAAGAAGCCAACATCTGATCGTTGAGGGAATCTCTTTTTTTCCCCACGACAATTGGCAAACATTTTCAGCCAACAATAATTAAAACATATAGCACTTCTTTGGATTTTAATAATTTGGCATTACGAAACAAGGGTAATGTTTGAAACATTGCAATATTTCATGTATAAAAAAAAATGCCTACATGGTGTTGCCCTCCAGCAGTGAGGTGCATGCACATAAAAGCTTACCATGTTGAAGATTGCCATTATGAGTATTAGAGCTGTGGTTGTCATGGTGAGAGTGATGCGGGGCCACGGCTTGTTGGCAATAATAACTGATGACCTCAGCAGCCACAGCCAAGAAGTAGATGCAGTTTTACTGCAGTGCTGGAGACACACAAATGCATAAGAGCACAAGAAACTTCAGCTTTTGCAGGATTTTGGTGCTGAAACTGTTGGAAGAAAAGAAAACGTGTCAACTACAACATGTGAAATGACCTGGATATGTGTGCTGGATGTTCCTCAATATGCAAACAATCATACAACCAACAAATTAACACTTTGGAACAACAAAATGATGACTGTGAAATACATTCAAACACAGGTTCATGTGTTAACACACACATTGCTGGTTAACTTTCAAAGTACTTCTAATTCAAAATGTAAATCATTATTTCATTTGACAAAATACAAATAGTAGCACCATTAAAAAAAAAAAACATTCCAGCGTGTAAAATATTATACCACTTCACTATCAATATCATGACCCACTTTGGTATGACTGTTTCAGAGGAGTTGATGGGGGAGAGGGTGGGCCACGGAGGTCATCTAAACACCAGCAAACTATTTTTTTACACGATGGAGTATGCTGTTTGAGGGAATCAGTTTGCTTGATGGCTGGATCCTCAGACTGAAGAAATCCTTTGGATGAAAGATGAAACTTCTCAGCAAAAAAAAAAAAAAAAAAAAAAACGTCCAGATAGAGCTGGGCGATATCGTGATATTTTAAAAATATCTATATATATATTTTTTTGCTATACAAGATGAGACTATCGATATAAAACGATATTTTGTTAAACTTGAAAAGCCGCCTGCTCTTCTTTCTCCCACGCGGCCCCCTCCTTCTCCCTCCTTGAATACAAACCCAGCCCCTCAGCCACACTCCCCATGGTAGCTTGTACTCATGGGTTAAAAGCAAAGTGCAACTATACCCCATTTTTACAGTCATCTTCTACCCTTCGCAGGATATCCATTAGCATTTTAATATGTCCATAAATTGTTTATTGCTGAGCTTTTATTGATGCAAAAAAGAAGCGTTCCTGTTCTGCAAATATTTGCGAGGTCATTTACAGTCAATTGGTTTTCTTCCTTACAGCCTTCCCTCCAGCTCAGTGCAACTCACTGTGAAACAGCGGAAGTGAAACCCAAATAATTTGCTTGATTATCTGCGGGCTTCTTAGCATGGCTGCAGCTGAGTGGATGTGACGTGGAAATATCTCCGAGGTGTACATCCCATTCCGACATACTAAAAGACGGC